CCAACCCATACCATCTGAATGTTGCATCAGGAATTGAGAGTCATCAAATCAGGGAATGTTTTCCAGTCTTCAGTTGTAATGATTCGTGTGAACTGTGGCCTCAGGTTCCTGTTCTTGGCTGACAGGAGTAACTCCTGATGTGGCTACTCTTCTGCTGCTGTAGCCCATCTGCCTCAAGGTTCGACGTGTTGTCTATTCCTGTGCAAACGTTGGTTGTAAAATGTTATTATTTGAATTACTGTAGACATCCAGTCAGCTTAAATATCCTCTGACCTCTGGTATCATCACACTTATTTTCACCTTAGTGGTGGTTGTCCAGAATAATCCCAGTAGATAAGACGGTCACATACTCAACCTGGTACCTGTCTGACACCAACAATGTCTCTGTTAACAAGCAGTCCAACAGGTGTACCTAATGAAGTGAATGTACGGTTAGGTTTTTGTTCATCTGTTAGTTTGTTTTTTAGGAAATTTGCTGTTTTCAGGATTGTTATTGTAAAACATCTTCCACCATTCCCATTAATAACTGAATATATGCATTTAATAAAACCAATGAAATATTGTAAAAAATGTAAAACGCATTCAACCCTGCAACAGGATTTCAACCCCATTATATCAGGAGTTCTGATGGGCCTGGAAATCTTTGCACTATTGACATTATTGACTCTAGCAGCAATCAGTACACCACATGGCATCATTCAGTTGAGACATTTGTGGGACATTTGTGAAAAACTAAGATTGACAAAGTCCATATATAGATAAAAATAACAGAAAATCACTGAAAATGAATCAGAAGCATATCTGCTGTTCACATGATTTAGATGCTGCCAGAAAGATCAAACCACTAATTTATGGTGGGGGTGGGGAGTGTTTGTATTGCAAGGTTGTGTAACACATATGGGTAAATGTTTCAAATTCTCTTGTGTACTTTTAGAGAACTTTGAAAAATGAATGAATGAATGAATGAATGAATGAATGAATGAATGAAAAAGAGCCGTGCTTATTCAGCATGACCAAAACGTTCTGAAGATATTTCCACATCTTCAGACATAAAAATACTCAAACTGTGAGTAATGGCGTCATGTAAATACCGAATCTGAAGAATGAGCCTACTATTTAAAGGGGGACTATGAAGCTTATTTACCACTTATGATTTCTATTCTTGGGCTCTCTTAGAGTAGCTTTGCATGAGTCAAGATCAAAATAATCCTTATTTATCTTATACTTCAGGTAGAACATTAGGAAAAGCATAAACCTCCCAAGACCCGAACTCTTCCATGGCATACATTTTTAATTTCTCTTTGATATTTGGGCATAGTGGGACCCAATGAATGTAAAAACAAAGAATTACCAGATTTATTTTTTTTATCTGATTTTTGTTTATAAGAAAAATGAGAGCCACATATGAGGATATTCGTATAAAATGTTGATAGATCAGTGGCAGTATAATGTCCTCATAAGTGGACATCAGGCCCTTATAGAGCAAAATGTAGTATTTTGGTCTAAATAACCCAAAATGTGATGTCCACATATGTGGACGCCAGGTCCTAGGAGGTTAAAAATTAAATAATGCACTTAATGGGTGAGAAAGCCATTTTCTGTTTTTCAGGATACACAATGAATCTTAAGGGGCACCTGTGCAATTTATTCTTAAATATCCACATCTGATATGCCTGATTTTTAGTTGTTAGTCAGATGTAACCAGCATGTAAAGATGTGTCTTAGAAGCTTGATCTAACCTGCCTGCAACCTTACCTCATCATTTCAAGTGTTACTACTAATAATAAACTGAGAGCCTGAGATGAGAAGGGTTAGTTTTTCAGACATGCAGCAGATATGGCTAAGCAATGCTCTTCTTGATTAATGCATATCTTCATATTTAGTATCAGAAAAAAATTATTAGATAAACCATGCATTTGTAGTCTACAACCAGGAAAATCAGTGCTTGTTATTCTGAGCGTCTTCCCAGAAGCATCCTGTGGTTGAAGCTGCTAATCTTGAGGTCAAAGCACCATCTACTGGTCATCATTAAAAAGCCAAAAGCGCTGCTTTTAATAGCTACTCTGCATGCATCCATGCACTAGAGGGTAGTGTTGTACTTGTCTCATCCGAGTGACCAGCGCTTAGTTTGTGCCCCTACTTCACATTACAAATACAAATAAAACTAAAGGTTTTGTTGTTTATTTGCTGTATATTCCAGTTAATCTTTCTGTTTTTTTAAAAAAATCCACAGTGCCGGTCTCCCTCTTCAGTGCCAGTTCAGCAGAGAATGATCAGTTTCTCCATAAAACATCCCTTCTGTGTATTGCCCAACAATATTGAAATCTCCAGTAGTTTGATTTCTGACCCCATATGAGTAATAAACTATTCTGCAGTCATTATAATAAGTGGCTGTAAATTCTTACTGGTGGGAATATCTGAAATGCAATGCAGTGATAATAGCTGGCAGCGCTTGTGGGATCCATTTAGACGTGAAGGAAAGCTTTGTAGTGGCTCCACTGTTAAAATGCAGTCTTGTTCAGGCCCTTGTGGTACAAATTTGCTTGTTTATGTGGGAAAATTTCTGTTTGTCCTTTTGCACAAAAAAGGCATGTTTTGTTCTTCTGCTGGCATTTAAGAGAGATTCTTCTAAAGCAGAACAGAACTCCACAAAAACTATCCCTGAGAAAATGTGTTCGTGTTAACCTTTAGAAAAGGCTGCTCCTGTCATCTGTGAAGTCTCCATTCACTCTCCTTGTTCTCACAAAGGTCACGGGCTAACCAAATGTCCCCAGGATAAGGCTAAAATGTTGCTATCCTCTCTGAAAACAGCATTTGGCATTTCTGCCGTACACCATGAATATACAGTATGC